GAATGAATGAATGAATGAATGAATAAAAATACCTATAAACCTGAAAATTTTGTCAGGATAGTACATGGTTTTTAAATATTTCCACTAGAGAGGAAAATGCTGAATTAAGGATTTTGATCCTGAGTAAGGAATGTAAAAAATATCCAGCTATATTTTAATTTTACATTAGGTACATCAGTCTTCATCTCTTAGCCTGCAATTGTCCTCGATGCTCTCCTTTAGCATGCCATAATATGTGAGGAAAACTTCTTAATTCATTTTTTCTTAAATGCAGGAACTGTATTTTATTTCCAGCACTTCACACAAGGCCTGGCACAAAGTCATGACCCAACGAAATGTTAGCGAATTAAGGAAACTAAGTGTCAAAAGGAATTTGATAGGTCATTCATTTAAACTTCCTACTAAATGCGCAAATCCTTTCTATATCTGTTGATAGTAATTCAATTTTTATTAAAAAAAATTACTTACATTTTGATTCTTTCATTTTGTTTACATATTTACCTTCAGTTTCTAGAACCCCTTTAGAATAAAGTATTACATTTCTAGAAAATATTCTAATGATACTTTTAATTGACAATTGCTAGCATTCCTTTAATAAAGGTGAGAAAATTTTATAAATTAATTTCTCCGATGAGAAAATAGTAGTGTAGGGAGGTTAAATAATATAATAAGGAGCACATCTGGGGATGAAGCTTACGACAGTGTTCTTACTGGCTAACCACCTAAGTTCCATGCATCATTTATTATGAGTTCTAGGATAATGACACTACCATTCATGATAAACATGAGAGTATTTTATATAATAACATTTAATTTTAATTATTTTCCCAGTGATATTACTGATCTAATTATATTCATGAGTTCCCCTTATAACCAAAAAAGTACATGTCCAATTTAGTTAGCTGACATAAGGCGTGCAGCTAGTGAATCCGGGTAAGACCTATCCAGCCAAATTCACTAATCTCTAATCATGTCTATAAAAGCCTGAAAGAAAATGGCATCATATTAATACAAGTACATGCAGGTTGCAAAAATCATAAACGAAGTATTTGTTATACTTGAACAAAGTGATACAACATTTGCTATTTGCTGAAACAACTTGAGACATAGCAACATTTAGATTTTGGTAGCCATGAATATTATACAATTTGCTTGTAGTTAATGAAATTTACAAGAAACCATTTTTGAGATATATTTTATTTATTTATTCATGCACTTATTAATTCACCCATATCCTATTTTGAATTGAATCCAAAGTACTTTATAGAGCTCATTTATTGAGAAAAATCTTTAATTCATAGGGGGTAGGAGTGGCAAGGGCCTTAAACATCACGGAAGGGAACAGTATGATAAAGAATTTGCACCTGGGGAAGAGATTCAAATTAATTCTTATAAAAGCTAGATATTATGTCTTCCATCTCCACAGAGTAAAAACAACACTTCAAAACCACAGAGGCAAGAAAATTTAAGATAATCTGCTAAGTTTGATCTAATTAAGCCTCTGGCTATTAAACAATGAACTCCCTGTTTATCAGCTCCCTGAGGAAGGTGGCTACATGTTGATTGCAACAGAGCACTCTGGAAAACATTTGCTAAATCTACCTTTGACTCTATCTACACTAGATTAGTGACCTCAAGTTTGCATGCCTACATAAGCTGTTGCAAAACTGCATTGAAAGTATACCCTTTTGAGAGATAAAGCAAAGTAGCAAACGATGGTGAATCTAGGTGAAGGACATAGAGGTATTCATTAAACAATTCTTGTAATTTATGTCAGACAGAAACTTTTTAGAATAAAAAGTTGTTGGAAAAATATAATTCAGTCAAAACATAAAACAAAAAAACGTATCGCCCACTGGTCACTTCTTGGTTGGGAGAAGAGAAAGGGTACAGTGGTTAATATTGGTACCAGTTAAGACTATTTGCATAAGCATGTGACTCTTCCTGCCTAATCACTTAAGAAATAAAATATTTGAATAAACAGAGGGTAATGTGTTTCTGGTTGCTATCCTATATACATAAAGAATAGTTAAGAATTCATATAAAAGATGATTTTGCTAATAGAAAATTAGTGAAAAAACATGAAAGGTAATTCTCAAAAGAAGATAGACAAACCGTCATTAAACATGAAAATTTAAGCAATTGTCAGTATCATAACATTTAGCTTTAGTGGGAGAGAAAAAATTAAAAAATAACAAACACCTGTAATTCTGTATGCCAAGGATAACTTGATACGATCTTTCTGGAGAATAATTTGACAACACATATATTTAAAAAACCTTTAGAATGCCAAAATCCATTATTTCCCAGAAATTCTTCTTCTAGGAATTTTTCTAGAAGGAACTAGATAATAATGTATATTATATAGTATACAGATTTTATATACATGCAAAAAAGTTAATGTAGAAGAATGCTAATTTCAGTATTATCTTTATTAAGAAAAGTTTGGAAAAATCTAAATGCCAAGTGACAGAGACTTGCTTAAAAATTAGAGTACATTCACATGATATAATAGTCCATGCTCATTAAAAAGCATATTATAGAAAATAATATTATAGTAGAGTGTTAAGTACATGGAAAATTTTCCATTACATGATAAGATAAATTCAGGTAGTAAAATGTACAGGATAACAAGAAAAACAGAACCTAAGATATTAACTGTTTCCCTGTTAGTGTTGAAATTATACATGGTTCTACTTTTTTCTGTATTTACCAACATGTCTACAAATAATATGTACTAATTTCATTATCTAAAATCACAATTAATGTTGTTAAAATACACAAATTATTCCATTTGCTAAGTTTAGCTATAATGAGGCACCAACACATTGTGACTTGCTGCAGAGCTGAGCCGTCAAGCTCAAGCAGGGAGCATCAGGTGACACATCTCAGTGAATAGAGGTATGAAATTCAGAAATCACAGTGTCAGCTCTGTGTACGAATGGTAGGTAGCATCTTTAATTTGTTTCCACACATCAGAAAAACTATTATCTACATTTTTGCCTCATGTGGGGAAATCTGTGTTCAGCTTAAAAGGCAATATTCCTTGGCTATGCTGGTTAGCTGTTTTCCTTGGTTCCTAAATGCAGAGAACTGGAAGTTTGTGCCCCAAGTCCGTATATCTTTCAGAGTTTGTCACATACTTTCAGTCTTAACTGTATAATAAAATATATTACACTTCTCATGCTACAGCATGTGATTAATAATTTTCAACTAATCTTTTTATTATCTTCATAAAAGTCATGAGTTCATCTTTTTAGACACTCTTTTATATATTCTAACTGGGGGACACTATCTTTTTATTATTTTCAAAATTGTGATGCTCAAAAGGGCAAAATCAGATATGTAGCATTTATTACCAAATGCTATCTTAGAACGCTTACTCCTTTCTGTAGACCTAGATATTACATACCACCCAGGAATGGTCTCTGTGTTCCTGCTACTTGTATATTAGCTAAGAATTGACCTTCAGATTATCTACTAGAGTAGTTTTTAATTCGTGGCTTTATTTTAAGCTCCAGGAATTCGTTACATCCTCTGTGAGTATGTAAAGGTCATTGAGTGAAGGTCTGAGGAACACTGCCCTTGGATTGGAATCTTGCCATCTCTCATTCACAATTCAGTGGGCTTTTGCTACAGTTAGTCTTGCTGCAAAAGCTCTACTTTCAAGTATTTTGCATATTGAGTTTCTGTCTGTGCCTTTATTGGAAAATGGGTTCTACATATTTTTTAAAATATGTAGGGATATTTAGGATATGTGATACACGATATATTCATAATCATTGAATTTAGTCATCCAATATTTATAAATTTATGGAAATCAGCCTTTTTGAGAGGCTGGTGATTCTAGAATCAAAGATGAGTAAGAGCTCACCATTGGTGAAGGACAAAGGTATGTAAAACGATCAATTGAGGTTAAGGTGAGCCTTGAAAACGAAGAGGAATTTGCCAAGCGGATTTGGGGGAAGAACACTGTTAACAAAGGGAGCATCATACAAAAGGACCTGACCTTTCCTGGAATTGTGAAAAATTCACTGTGACAAGAATGTAGATGTGTAGGAAACAGGGGCAGGAGAGAGTGCTGGGACCAAGCGGCAAATCATTTTCACTCCCAGATAAGGAATTTGGACTTAAATTTAAATAACAAGGAGATAACATAAAGCAGAAAAGTAACTTGGTCAAAATTTTCTATTTTTAGGACAATACATGTTATGGCAGAGTAATAGAGTACGGTTAGGGATAGAACAGAACTTACAGCAGGGAAACCGGATAAAAGTTGAAGTTGGATTTGATGAGGAATTAAGAGAGTGACATGTTTCCATGACAGGAATAAATCACCTTTGCTTAGATGCAAAGGTTATGAGAATGAGCTTCAGCACAGTAAGTTTTCGTGAACATCTGTGGCGGTGATGCTACATTAAGGGAAGAAGGACCAAGGTCATGGGGTCGCCCAGGGCAGTTGGAGTGAAGTGATGAGAGAATATAAGGTTAAAAAAACAAAACAAAAACAAATGTTGAGTTGATATGCTCATTTCTTGGGGAAACATAGAAAGAACAGAAAATCCACTTCTACCTGGGTTCCGGTGTAACTATGTAAAAAACAAAAACCCAACTGAGGCCGATAGGCCTCTTTTCCTGGGGCAATAGGTAACTGCTGCTTCCTACCTCATTATTTCCAGAAGAAAAAAAAAAGTGAAGACTTGATCCTGACTTTCTTCTTGGGATCTCTGATCCCTAGTTCTGGCTAAATGACAGAGTGGTGGTTTTTCCATAGTACAGAGAGAGATTCTGAATTTTCAAATGTTCAGTGCCAATTTGTTAGCTCGTTAAGCTTGTGAATGTTTCCCTTTTCTTACAAGTTCAAAGCCTACCTCACTGACCATGTGGATTACAAAATTTAAAAGAAAACATTGGTTTATTGCAACAGAGACTGGTTTAATTAATAAATCTTTTTAAAAGTTTTCTGTGACAGATCTTACATAAATAAATATTTAAAAGTGGACTTTTAAACATAAGCTTTTATTTTGCCTCACAGTTTTTCATAAGGATAGAAAATTCCTCTTCCTAATGCGAAACTTTTCACAATCGACTGGAATTGAAATTATGAACAATGACTGTCCACAATTATTCTTTTAGTTACTTCTTGATGAATAATATAAATGAAGAATAAAAAAAGAAAATGGTGTGATAATTTTAATGTCATTTATCCTGAATACTTTCTTCAGAAAGTCACACTCACAACCTTTTGATAATTTGATATAATATATGAAAGAAAATTCCAATGACATAATATACAAAAATGTTGTTACACATGGAAGAATAAAAATCTATGTTTTGGGGACTATTACTGTGGGAAATAGGGCCTGATCTTCATGGACATCTTCTTCATGGAATACCAGGACCCCTTCCAGTTCATCCATACCACTCCGTCGTCTGTGCCGTGTTTTGCCATGTCCCAGCTGTATTGTCCACCCCAGTAGTATCTACCATTTGGATTGGCTGCATGACATCTATTATACCACCATCCGCCACCATCCTCTTTAGAACACTGTTTTTCGGGATCTGCATTTACCCTGAAAGGAAATATATTTAGGGCTATTAGAACTACAAGTCAATTCCATGCAAATTACCCACAGGGCAGTGCTGTGTGCAGTACACCTTCCCTCTGGTTTTATAAGTCAAGTCACACTAATACACCAAAGGCTTTCTCTGCCCTATAGCAAGAAAGGGAGAGAACTGAACCTACGTGGCAAATTCACTTATATCTTTTATTTTATACTGATAGCTTTCGGGTTCCTTAGTATTAGAAAACCCTGAAAAACTACATGAAGGTTTCAATATACACATTAAATATAGAGATACAGAAATTTATCTAAACACTCATACTCAGAAGGTCAGAGTGCTCTCATTCCAGCTCCATCTGTTATAGTTGTATGACTGAGTAAGTTACTTACTCTCTCTAAACTTCATCTGTAAAATAAGGGTAATAATGGCAACCTTACAGTTGAAATGCTTAAGAGTGATACATAAAGAGCTTAGTACAGTGGCTAAGTGAAGTGAGACTTATCAACCACATTAGTTATCATCATTAATGATCCTAAGCAGCAATGTTAGAGGTGGCTTTTACAGCAGGTGGGAAGAACATGACACATACCAGCCATCATTATCTCTGTCGTACGTGCTGAAGAACATGCCATTGTGAATGGTCATTGTTCGGTTTTCTCCCACCAGTTGAGAGGCTCCTTCCATGAGGGCATTGCCAGCTGTTCCCTTATATTTGTTCACTGAGATTTGGTACTTGTCAGCCTCGTTCTGTATAGTGAATCCTCCATAGCGTGCCTTCACCTTATCTCCTTTCCAGTCCTCCATTTCAATCAAAAGTTCTGTGGGTCCCATCTTAGTAAGCTGGCTAATTTTATCATTTCCAAGCCAGTACTCACCTAAAGGTAAACAGAATAAAATCTCACCAATAATAAAACCTTTAGAAACTAAAAACTGCCTTTCTTTTCTTTTCTTTACCTTTCACACTTTTCGTAAACTCTTCTTAACCTCCTGAAATTCCTAAAAACAGACTTCTAACGCTGTTTTCTAAAGTGAAAAAAATATATATTTTAAACAGAACAATTTTATTTTGACTCTCAATTTTTACCTGGTAGGCCACAGTATTTTTTCCCATCTTCATTGGTTGCAATATTTCCAAATCCTTGTTTATATGGATTCCATTTCCTGCCAAAGTCAACACTACCATCTTGACGATTCTGAATTACTGTCCATCCTTTGATTGAAGGAAATAAAAACAACACATATTAACCACTGACAAATAATGTTGCTTTTAGGGGAATATCTGAATTCTTTGTCCACTTAATTTATTTTATGCCCTCCTATATTTAGTGCTTCAAAATAGATATAATAAAGAAATAAATATGAGAGAAAAACTGTAAAAATCTTTTAAAACTAGAAGTGTTGTATCTTACCCCAAATTGTGAATCTTAGATATTTTATAACTCTTAAAATATCAAATTGAATTCCAAATCAAATGGCTCATTGCTAGTTATGTTAAAGCTAGGTTTTATATCCTGGCATTTAATGGTATCAAAATAATTACAGAATAATTTGTCAGCAACTATCAAATACTTACCTCCACCTTCTGTGTTCATATCACAGTATACTCTATATGGTTTGATAGAGTTGTGAGGCTGAATGAGATACATTTCAGATGTTTCACCTCCATTCCTGACAATTTCCTCACATTCTGCAACCATAAAATAACATGTTATAATCAGAGAACTACGACATTATTACTTGGTCTTTAGTCACCAATTTTATAAAATGACTGATTACATAGGTTACTGAAGAATGTTTTATTTTAGACATTTAAGAATATATCATAGAAATTGAATCTTCCTTTTACTGAAAAATCAAACTCAGTTTTGAGTTCTATCAGCCAAGGAGATGGAAAAACCATTCTCCACCTTTCCTGTCCTGTGACATCCATTAACTGCCAGCTGGAGAAACTCCTGCATCTGTTCTTTGTTCTGCCATCTATTCAAGCAAAGGTGTACATTACACACGTGGAGCTACCACTATCATTAAACGACATCCTGCTCATCAAAAATATGCAGATACATTAGACTACGTCAGAACACAGCACACTAGGGCTATCGTCCCAATGTGCTGTAATGTCATTTCCAGAGCAGGGAAATCCACTGGACTTTTTCTATTCTCTTAATTTTTAGAGAGTGTGAGTTCTTCTTCTGGAACCCTTCAGAAATATGTTTAACTAGTTACCTTTGCCAGACACCACAGGAACATTGCAACTGACGGTGCATGGGGTGCGGCAGTATTCCATCTGAGCTGAGACATCAGATTCTAACTTCTGTATTTTGCTTCTCAGGTTTTCCAGGATTGAACGGAGTACACGAAGGTTAAGCGGGATATTACTATTCACTGTCTCATCTATGTATAATCGGTGCTTTTCCAGCTCTGAGGTGTACTCACTTATTACATTTTCATTTTCTGGAAAAACGAAATTACGTAGGAATAGTTAGCATTTTCTCCCAATAAGAAAACTAAATGTATTCAACCATACATTGTGATTTTGATTTTCTGAGAATAAACTAATGAACATTGAGCTACCATCAGGCAGTCATGAAATGCAGTTGTACTTAGGGGAAATTATTTGGTACATGGCATATACCAATTAACATATAGTCTAGCTACTATACTAGTAATTTACCTTAGGTGTAAGTTTAAAAATTGCGTCTAATAATAATAGGTTGTTTTTTCTTTGGTGAGGAAAAGAGTAGGATTTAGGAAATAGTATTAGACTTTCCATCTCAGTTCAACATTTTATGGAGTGGATAGAGTTGATTTATTTATCTATCTCACATAAGAATAGCAGAACCTTAAAATTTACAACAGAGAGGTCATGATTCCTTTGAAAAATGTCCAAATCTGGGAAGGCTGCTCGCGGAGATGCCAGACTCACTAGCTGATTCCTAATCACTAAACCAATCTCACTCAATTCAGATCTCAAGTTTCAAAGGTTAGCTATTATTATTTGCAACACAACTGAGGATATTATAGATTACCCTTATAATCAAAACCTCAAATGTTAAATCTATAAATGTTCGATTTTTACTGTGTGAATATTGTCTTCTGAGTCACAAATTTCTTATAAACTAAAAATAAGGACTCACAGCAAAATTTTTCAGAGAAAATCATTCTTGCTGATGCTAAAGTGGGAATAAGAGTTGAATAGTGCTTATCTGACAAGTTGCATGTGAAGGTGCCTTAGCAAGGACCTTTGAGTAATCAGGACCATACTGAAAGAGCATGAATGCTATTTGGGCTAATCCAGAAATGTTAATCTCCTCATAATCATGGCAGTCCAACAGTCCCGATCATAGAACAGAATCAAACAGAAAACATAAGGATATCTACCTTTTATTTGCTTCTGCCTCTTTTTCCACATGTCTTTTAGAACAGTCATATACTGAAAGGTGGTAGAAGATGTCTGGGAAACAGACTCCACATTATTATTTAACTCATTCACACTGTTTCTGACTGGCCTTTCCTGTTTTACCAAAGTTTCTTGCAACTGACATCCTGTAGGACACAACACTCCCTGCAAACAAATAAAAAAACAGCCATTAGATGAAGAATTTGGGTTATGGGTATTTGCGAAAAAAGCACATAGTGAAAATTCAATGATATCATTAGCTGATATAAAAACTTGTCATTCAATTTTCTTTACACAAGACCAGAAATTCTAGAGTCTTCATAGTCCTAATAAGATGAAAAATAGTCCTTATCCAGAGTAAATGTAATTAGGCTATGAAAATTTCACCACCCGAATAAACGAAGCGGGCAAAAATCAAAAGTAAAGGCAATACCCATATGTCCTCATTTGTAATCTTGGGCCCAGACCAAAGGAAACTAGAAAGGAACCCTTAACCAAAGCTCAATAAGTTTATGTATTTATTTCCAAAATAAACAAACAAAAATAACAACAATGGCAACGTGGATCAAGGCAGCTATAGGAAGCCATGATGAAGACAGGCTTTCTACACATGGAAGACCCACTGCAAGAGCATCAGTGCACCCACCAGGTCTGGGTCAGCGTGAAGACAGCCCCCAGCATCAGGGGGTTTTCTTTCTACTTTCTTCATGCTGGCAGCAGTTTTGACTGGACGAGCCCGATAGCCTCCTCCACTGATGGGAGGTGGGGCAGGTCTCAGGCTGGGAGCCTCTTCTCTCTTCTTGTCAAGGGGTCGATGACCGCGGGCGTCCAAAGAGGCCTTCAGAGAACCAGGCGGAAATGAAATGTAGCGTGTTATAGAAGAGTTGAGAGGTAACTATTCCAACACTCTCATTTTATAATTTAGGTTATCACGCAACTGATGACTGGCTTAAGGTCCATCGACTGGCTAGTCGTTGGTGGTAAATCAACAGGTTGCTTAGGTCTCTTTAGTAACAATAGAAAGAAAATCTGCATAACGCTATTGTACCTCAGGTAGTTTTTTAAAAGAGGCCCTAAATAAAGCTGCATCAGATTACGAATAATAATAATCTCAGATTCCTGAAACCTATAACTGAGACACGCAAGATAGTGTGTCTGGTATGTATTCTTTCTGATATACTGTCAGGAAGAGTAAATATTCTCAAGCCACTTGGTTACTAAATTCCTGTAATTATTGTTAATTATTTCTCCATCTTTCATTTTTATAAATTGATGATCAATTTGCCTAACTCCTGTATAATAATATCCTAAGACAATATCGATTTACTAAAACGCTAAATTTACTTAGAATTTGTCATAAGACAACCTTGGACTCTAACATGTTTGAAGAGGAATAAGGAAGGCACTCTGGAGCCAGGCTGCTTGGCTTGACCCTACCGCCTACTAGCCATAAGATCTTAGGCAAGCAAATTTATCTGTGCTTGTTTCCTTATCTGTAAAATGGGGATAATAATAGTTAGTATCTGCTGCATAAGATGATTTGTAAGGATTAAATGATTTATTGCATATGACACTCTCAGAAGAGGACCTGGCATGTAGTAAGCACTCGTTATTATTTTTATTGCAATCATACAAAGCAGGTACTATAGTTTAAGTAGTTTTTCCACCACTAATCCTAACCTTAATCATATCTTCTATTAACAAAAGTATTGATCTAAACCATTTTCATGAAATTTTCTACATGATTTCTTTATCAAACACCATGATTTTTTCATATTTAAAGTAATTCTCAAGATATGTGCATTGTGATTAAAATTATTTGTTAACAAAAAAATATTACACTAAGATAATGAAGTGAAAAATATGCAGTACAATATAAAAGGGCTGGTTTGAATTAACTGTATTACCATATGGTCTTTGTCGGCAATTACATCTTTTTGGGCTTAATTACAAATTAACAGATGACTAGATCTGAAGCAGAAACTAAGCAGTCTAGCTATTTTGTGAGCCTAGAAGTCATCCAATGACTCTATTTGGAATTTTATTGTCATTTACTCATTAAGTTATAATAATATTCAACATTTAGTGAGAAGGTGCTAGGCTTTAAATCCAGGCAGGCTGGTACCTGATTCCCCTGCTTAACTGCTGAATTTATACTATAATATATGTTATGTGTGATTGCAATAAAAATAATAACGTGTGAAGATTAGGTAAAATATACATGTTTCATTTCAAAGACATGATCTCAGCCAGAGCTGGTCTATTCTAACCAGAATTTTGTGAAACGTAGTTCACCGGTTTATTACAAATCAAATTATAACAGAAGGAAAATATTTTCTTTCTATTTCAGAGTGCTAGTAGACAGCATTGATGGTCTAGCTTTACAAGCAAAAAGGAAATAAAAACTATTTTTTTTAATTATATGGGTATTTTGGTTTATGAAAACCACTTATTGAAATAACTAAAAATAGAAAATCCATTTT